GTTATGTATTCAGTAATAAAGCTAAAAGTTCTACTAATTTTAGTCCAGCAGAGCAGCAATGGACATATACTTTTCTTTGGAACTCAGCTGTCCATCACTGACAAGGGAGATAACACATACAGGGATTCTTATGCTTTAGGTGTGGGAATGAACAAAATGTCAGTTGATAAGACAGAAACTACATGGAAAATACTCTACTTGAACAAATCCATGGGCAAACTGAATTAGGTTACAAAGTCAATCGTGCACTGAGAAGGACACACTGCATGGTATTAAAAAAAGACTATTTTACAAAAGTTAATCGTGAAAAATTTCTGATTTTAGTTAACTATGTGTTAACAATAAAAAATTGTTTATATAACTATTTAATAATATTGAGAATTAAGTAACCATCCATATTTTCACCAAGTAAAAATGATTTCAAAGTATACAATTAATAAAACTGCAAAAGATACAGAGCAGTAAGGAAAGCCATTTAAAATTTGATATACATACCCCTGGAATAAATGTCAGTCTATTCCCATCCATCCAAAATTCTTTCAATCCACTTAGTTGCTCAAGTACTTCAGGCTTTTTGAATTTAGAAGGAAGAGGAAGGAATACAATTATTTACTTGGATGTTTAGATTTGGGGGGAAAAAAAAAAAAGACCCTGGGAATGTCTAATGACAACTTTTAGTTTAAAATTAAAAAATGAGGAGGAAATAAAGCAGAGCTGAGAGTCAAGCCTTTCTCTCTATATCACAACTACAGAAGAACACAAAGATAGACGATCCCTAACAGCAGACTGAATAACATTCATGTAAGCTTTTGATTACATAATAGATGTACGTATTTATACAATAAAAAAATAAAAGTAAGTGCCACTGCTTTCAAGAGTACAATAAAAACTACTCTCAATCATTACCTGTAAAACATGAAGGCTATTAAGAAGCGGAAAGAAAAAAACAAGTAGGGCAACATACACCTTAAACGTCCAATAAGGGAAAGGTAAGTAAACCATGGCATAATCACGTTAAGTGCATTCTGTTATTTTATTTTATTATATTTTATTTATTATTTTATTATATTTTATTATATTTTATTATATTTTATTATATTTTATTATTTTATTTTATTTTATTTCTAGAGGCCCAATGCACGAAATTCGTGCAAGAGTAGGCCTTCCTTTCCCCGGCTGCTGGCACCGGCTTCCCTCTGACACCCTGGACCCAGGTTTCTCTCCGGCTACTGGCAGGCACCCAGGACCCCGGTTTTCCTCACAGCCCTGGCTTCGTCCAGAAAGACATCCAATCTAATTAGCATATTACACTTTTATTATTATATTGTAGATTACTATTTTTTAATCCTCTCCCGAGAATATTTTTTTTTATTTTTAGAAAGAGAGGAAGAGACACAGAGAAAGAGAGAGAGAGAGAGAACACACATATCAATCGGTTGTGTCCCATATGTGCCCCAACTGGGGATGGAACACACAACCTAGGTATGTGCCCTGATGGGGAATCAAACCCACAACCTTTTGGTGTATGGATGACACTCCAACCGAGTGGCCCAGTTATTTTAAACTCCCAGCAATTACATGGTGAAAGATTGTTTATAATATAAGGTTGAGGACCCAAAAGATCAATCAAAAAGTTGCAGTGGTCCTTGGTATTTAGGCAAAATTTGACCAGGGGCATTCAATTCACCCTTGGAGGCTCTTCTGAATTCATCCTTCAAAGGTATTTGTTACCCCACAAACCTGTGTCCAATCATTGACACTGTGAAGGCATCCTGTTCCAACATATCTAATCACCATAACATCAGTAATATATAAAAAGCTATCATTCAGATTTACTTTTAACATATAAATATTGGTAAGAATTCTAGGTACAACATGGATATTTTAAAAATTCCTTTTGAGCTTTACCTGTTATAATTCTAACAGTATGTTTTTTATAAAGTATATATATTGTTCAGCCCGGCTAGCTCAGTCGGTAGAGCATGAGACTCTTAAAGTATATATATTGTTGGAAGACCAAAATGGTATAAAAATTAATGATTTCTGAGTGCTGCCGATTCATAAAAAGAACAATAATTAAGAATTTTCAGCTGAAACCGGTTTGGCTCAGTGGATAGAGTGTCAGTCTGCAGACTGAAGGGTCCCAGGTTTGATTCCGGTCAAGGGCATGTACATTGGTTGTGGGCACATCCCCAGAACTCTCATCAATGTTTCTAGCTCTCTATTCCTCTCCCTTCTTCTCTGTAAAAAAGTCAATATATATTAAAAAAAAAAAAAAAAAAAAAAAAAAAAAAAAAAAAAAAAAAAAAGGAATTTTCGAAGTTAATATGTGAATATGATAGTTTAATACATATAAAACATATATCGAGAGAGTACAATAGTTAATTTGGGAAGCATAGAATATATATTTTTCACAAGCAGTAAAGTATTCCAAAACACACAGTAAAACCAATCATAAATCACCTTCAATTAAAATATAAGAATATGAAAGTCTTTAAGATAAAACGAGGTATCCAAAGCCTCACTGAGAAGCTGAGGGTATTTAGTGAGCAAATGTACAAAACAATATCCACAGGGCAATCATGCAGTTGGCAGTGCTGCAGAATTCCTGTTCTCAACACATCATTTGAAATCTACCACAATTAAAAAAAAAAAATAAACTTACAGACATAATGTAAACATTTTAAGTAACTTCTTCAAAAAATATATCTGGCAAACTCTGAGTTCTCTTGGAGAAATGAATAAAGCTAAAGAACTGCTTACATATTCCTTTCCTTTTTTATTCAGTATCATAGTACACTTAGTATACAAAGCAAGAAACATAACCCAGAGATCTCACTAACAACTCAACAATAACCGTTGTTTCACTCAATATTTTCCCTTTAGCTAGTAATTTTATTCAGTTTTAGCACTGAATAAATTCCTAAGCAATACCCCTGAGAGTTTTGTCCAGAAGTAGCACTTTTCTGTCATGCATTCTAGTCTGATGAAACTTTGTTTTCCCTTACAATCTCTCACACTTTCTACTCCCTATGCCTAAAAACTTTTGGTTACTTTTGTACCTGGGTTTTTCGTTAATTTTAACTTTTATCCTCACACCTGTCAAATGTTTCTATATGGTTAATTTTCTCTGTTAAGAACTTTCATATCTTGTCTCTCAAAATTGTGTTTATCTTTACCCAATTTCATACTTTAAAAAATTCAGAGAATACATTAATTTTCACATTTTATTCTTGATGAAATATAAGACTATGGACAGTACGACTGGTGAGAACTTACCACTTCTGTGAATTCATTACTTCCCAAATCCAATCTTTCCAGCTGGGTTAGTCTATTCATGGTTCTGTGCACAATGGATTAATAAAGAATTAAGTATACAAAATATCAATTACATGGAAGCTTTCAAAAGAATAGTGTAAAACATTCTTATGTAATCTCTACTGATGTATAGTTTTCATATGTTGACAAAATAAAAATAGTTTTCTAAGAACAGGAAGTCGTCATACAGTTATGTCTCAATGACGGGAATATGTTCTAAGAAATGTTAGATGATTTGGTCATTGTTTGAACATCAGAGTATTCCTACACAAATCTAGATAGTTATGCCTACTACACCTACAGGCTATATAGTACAGCCTAGTGATCCTAGGCTACAGCCTATACAGCAAGTTACTGTATGAATACTCTAGGTAGCTGGAGCACTATGGTATTTCTAAACATAGAAAAGTTACAGTAAAAATACAGTATAAAAAATAATGTGCATGTGCAATTCTATCATGTCTGGAAATTTAACATATTAGAAACAGTAATTAGTAAATAAACTAACAAATGTTTTTCTGGCTTTTTAGTGAAAAAATATAAAACACATATCATAATTGTAATGTCACTGTGTTATGCACCTAACATTACTTTTCCTCAATGCTTTCATTTTAAATATGCCATTGTATCAATTTTAATTAAATTCATCTCACAAAAGCAATTTTTCTCAATGCTGTTTTATTCAACTAGGATTTACTGAAGTCTGTTTTCAGATATTATGAGGTACTACATTTCACTTCCCTTACTCTTATCTGTCTTTGTCCCAGGAAATCTATAAGCCAGTTCTAGTTTGCTTCATAACAAAGCAAAAGGTGTTTCCAGGATCTTTCTCAAGAAAGATTAGAAGCTATGATATTTAACTCCTTGGTCCATAATACTGTTATCAGGTGGACATTTCAGAAAAGTAAAGAGGGGCTGTGACAAGATAACAAAAAATTCACTTGTACCAATTAATGATATCAACAAGGGGAGGATACAAAAGAAGGAACAAAAAGAGAAGCAATGCATTAGAAATGACATCCTTAGAAAGTTGTTTTAAAATTGATTTAGGAAAATGTGAATGTACATATATGCAATAAAAAGAGGAAATATAATATCAAGTCCTAAAATACATAATGTCAAGTTGTAGCTAGCTACTACTGGCAATTTTGGTCCTACTCCTCCTCCTCAAAAATCTACCTAAGACACACAATTTTATTTTATTTATTTAAAAAAATATATATATATATATATTTTATTGATTTTTTTACAGAGAGGAGGAGAGAGGGATAGAGAGCTAGAAACGTCGATGAGAAACATCGACCAGCTGCCTCCTGCACAACCCCTACCGGGGATGTGCCCGCAACCAATGTACATACATGCCCTTGACCGGAATCGAACCTGGGACCCTTCAGTCCGCAGACCGATGCTCTATCCACTGAGCCAAACCGGTTTCAGCACACAATTTTATTTTTATTACATTTACAAGTCTTTTCATTAAGATCAAACTTCCCACTTCAAGAAGAAAGTAGAAACAATATCCCTCAAATTTCCTCCTATTTACCTCTAACATTCTTTTGTGTTTAACTCATTTTTATCTCTCTTCTCCTGTCTCAAAGGAAAAGTCACATCCTTTGTATTACTGGTATATGCCCTCCACTATTAAGATGGTATTAAGTTTTCCTTGACCATGAATCTAAAACAGCTTTCCCACTGCTCTGACATTTGATGTGAGTTTGTAAAGCTTCCAAGGTTCTCATCATAAGTCATAAATAAACAAACAAAATAATTATATTTGCAAATTTGAAGCTAAGGAGTTAAAATTCACTGAGTTAAAATCAGTAAAGTCCTTATGATCAGATAGATCATATTAACTGTAGGATATTTCAGTAATTAAATTACATTTTGACTATTCAAACCTTTTAGAAAAAAGTCCAAGTTTTGAATTAAGGATACAATAACAATACCAAATATGTAACATATTTAAACCTTAGTCTAATTCCCACTTTAATTTATACTCACAACTTTAATTCCCACTTAATTTATAATCAGAACTATCACTATAAAATGCCAATCATTCTTGCACTAAACAATTACTGAATACATAATGTCTTTTGTGAATCAAAACTAGATATGCTCGTCCAGCTGGCGTGGCTTAGTGATTGAGCATCGACCTATGAACCAGGTGGTCAAGGTTCAATTCCCAGTCAAGGGCACATGCCCAGGTTGTGGGCTCAGTCCCCAGGGGCGGTTGTGCAGGAGTCAGCCCATCAATGATTCTCTTTCATCATTGATGTTTCTATCTCTCTGTCCCTCTCTTCCTCTCTGAAATCATTAAAAAAAAAAAATATATATATATATATATTAAAAAAAACCTAGTTATGCTCTTTGCCCTCAGATTATAGTCATGGGGGTTAGGGGAAGGAAGAAGCTGTAAGTACATGAGCACAAGATACATATTTACATATGCTGGTCAGGTAAGAAGGGAGTGAAATGTATAAAAATAAATGGGACTAGTATGGTAAAAGTCATATAACAATTAAGTAAACATGGTGCCCAGAAGTTGAGTAAACAGAACAACTAATTCCTAGGAAACTGGAGATACTTCTCTGAAGAGGTGACAATTAACTTTGACAAACAAATAGTAACAGGAGACAACAAAATTTTCTTTTATATAAAGGGGCAGATAATACTTTAATCTTTACATATAATTTCTGTCACAACTACCACTCAGAGCAAAAGCAGCCATACGCAATATGTAAATGAAAGTGGTTCCAATGAACTTTATTTTTAAAAAGTAGCAATGAATTCAGGATGTTTTAGGACATTTCTACAATAAATGAGCAGACTACACAGTGTATTTTGAATTTGTAGATGTGTTTAACTTATAATATTTGCTCTTGGACTGCCATCTCTTCTTGATGTTCGCTTACCAGTAGGGGGCCCTCACCCCATTTCTCATTTATAATAGACTGAAAAACCAGATAGGCTTTTAGAACTATAGTTATCAGACTTCACATGAAGATCTTTGAATTTCTCTAGTGAGTACCATATAAGAGTTCTGGTATAAGAATTGAGACTTTTATTTGGGACTCAAGCCGGTTTTACATACTTATTTCTTTGACTTTTGTCACACAAGACTGTGTTCCAGAGACTATGAAATCATTATTAAATGCCAAATATAGATGCACAGATTTTTACACTGACCACAACTAATATAAATATGACCACAAATGCCAGTCTTTTAAAATAATTTGCACTTGTATTTCAGATATTAAAAAGTTAATATTTCTGTAAGGACCTAATTAAAAATTCTAAATTAAATTTTACAAAGTATAGCACCTCTACTTACTTTGGCAACATTTTCAACTGGTTTTCTCTAAGTTCTAGTATTTGGAGTTTAGTTAATCTGCAAAACAAAGAAAACAAATCAAGTATCTATGACAAAGACAAAGAATTAACAAGTTAATATCATACTTTGAAGTTTTAAAGCAATCAATATTTATTGTGTAATTACAATATGCAGAATACTGTATTAAAAATTACACAGGAATACAAAGTAATACAAAGGAAGAAAAGGCTATTTCTGCTCTTCAGAATTATTGGAGGGGGAGGGGAATAAATACTTCCAGACATCCTCACAGCACAAAGTGACTGTCCCTAAATATCAAACCTAGAGCACTTTATGCCTGTGAAAATACCTGCCAAAATTATTAAGTATCTCTGAATAATAATTCAACTCCAGAGCTTGGCTCAGAGAGAAAACCATAAGGGAACACAAGGAGACATGAAAAAGGAGATATCTTCCAACACTACTAAGATGCATTTCCCAATAAATTTAGAGGGAAAATAATTAGATTAGGTGGTACAGAGTTACTAATTAATGCTACAAAGCAATATTACATAGTATATAAATATATCAAATGAACATGTTGTATACCTTACAACTTCCACAACGTTATGTGTCAAATATATTTCAATAAAAATAAAAATGGTCCAAATGTCAGATACACAAGAGGAATCCAACAAGCATATAACCTTTATCTGTATGTGCAGAAACACATGCAAATATGTTTATGTATATAAATATATGGAGCATGACAATGTACTCATTGGGCTGCAACACTAACCAGAATTATTTTTTTCTTTACTGAAATACCAGAAGCCCGGTGCATGACATTTGTGCACTGGTGTGTGTGTGTGCGTGTGTGTGTGTGTGTGTGTGTGTGTGTGCGTGCACAGGTGTTTGTGTGAGAAGGGGTCTTTCAGCCCCGCCTGCACCCTCTTGCAGTCCAGGCTCCTATCACCTCCACTGCTCACTAGTTGTGAGCCCAGCTTCTGGTTGAGCGGCGCTCCCCTGGTAGGATGCACTGACTACCAGGGAACAACAGCTCCTGTGTTGAGCGTCTGCCCCTGGTTGTCAGTGTGTGTCATAGTGACTGGTCATTCCGCCATTTGGTCGATTTGCATATTAACTTTTTATTATACACTAGCGGCCCGGTACACGAAATTCGTGCACGAGGTGAGGTGGGGGGGCACCCCTGAGCCTGGCTTGCACCCTTTCCAATGTGGGACCCCTTGAAGGATGTCCTACTGCTGGTTCACAGGGATCAGGGACTACTGGCTCCTAACCACTCACCTGCCTGCCTGATTGCCTAATAGCCCCTAACTACTCTGCCTGCTAGCCTGCTTGCCCCAAACTCCCCCTCACTGCCAGCCTGCTTGTCCCCAAATGACCCCCTGCCAGCCTGCTCACCAACTACCCCCCCTTGCCAGTGTGCTTGCCCCCAAATGCACCCACCCCTGCCAGCCTGCTTAACCCCAACTGCCCCCTGTGCCAGTGGGTTCGCCCCCAACTGCCCCCTGCTGCCTGGTCACTCCAAGCTGAACCCCCCCCCCCAATCCTGATCCTCTCCAACTGACCGCTATTGACATCCTGCTTGGCCCCCCTGCTGATCTGCTTACCCCCAATGACTCTGCCCCCCACCAGCCTGATAACCCACAACTGCCCTCCCCTCTTGCTCTCTAACTGCCTCTACCTCGGCCCCACCACCATGCTTTGTCCAGAAAAATATCCAGAAGGTATCCTGGAAGATCTCCCAGTCTAATTAGCATATTACCTTTTTATTAGAACAGTGGTCGGCAAATTCATTAGTCAACAGAGCCAAATATCAACAGTACAAGAATTGAAATTTCTTTTGAGAGCCGAAAACCAACTTCTGCGCATGGGCCACGAAGTTACACTTGCACTGTACCTGTGTGCCCACCACGTGGTATTTTGTGGAAGCATCACACTCAAGGGGACCAAGAGCGGCATGTGGCTCGTGAGCGGCAGTTTGCTGAGCACTGGCATAGAAAGAGGCCTGGTGCACGGGTGGGGGCCAACTGGTTTTCCTTGAAGGGTGTCCCAGATCAGGGTGGCGTTCCCTTGGAGGGTGGGGCAGCCTGGGCAAGGGGCCTGTGGTGGTTTACAGGCCTTCCATGCCCCCGTGGGGTGAGGATCCCTGTTGGGGGATGGTGGCCAGCCTGGCTGATGGGCTGAGGACTGCTTTCAAGCTAGCCACACACCCTTTCGGGCAGGGATTCCCGCTGGGGTGCCTGGCCGGCCTAAGTGAGGCCAGCCTGGGCGAAGGGCTGTTTGTAGGCTGGCCAAGCTTCCCAGAGGGGACCCTCACCCCACGGGGGTGTGGTCAGCCTAGGTGAGGGACTGATGGCTGTTTGCAGGCTGGCCACACACCTTGGTGACCCAAGCCCCCAGCTCCTCCTGTTTTGTTTTGCTTTTTTCCCCCAGCACTTCCTTGAGTGGAGGCCAGGGCCAGCTGGAAGGAGATATCTGGGATTTATTGATCTTCTATAATTGTAATTTAAAAAATTTTAAAAATATATATATTTTATTGATTTTCCACAGAGAGGAAGGAAGAAGGATAGAGAGCTAGAAACGTCGATGAGAGAGAAACATCGACCAGCTGACTCTTGCACACCCCCTACTGGGGATGTGCCCTGCAACCAATGTACATGCCCTTGACCAGAATCGAACCCGGGACCCTACAGTCCCCAAGTCGACGCTCTATCCACTGAGCCAAACTGGTTTCGGCTATAATTGAAATTCTGTAGCCTTGAGCAGAGGCCAGGGCCGGCCAGGGCAGGTGGGAAACTTTGCTTCCTCCATCACCAGGAAGAAACCTGCTTACTCCAGCTCCATGACTGCCATCATATTTGTTAATTTGCATACTCGCTCCTGATTGGCTGGTGGTTGTAGCAGAGGTATGGTCAATTTTCATGTTTCTCTTTTTATTAGTGTAGAGGATAAGTGACATTATCGTAGTTTCAGGTATACAATGTAATGATTTTATCTTTGTATATAATGCAAAATGGTCACCAAAATAAGTTTAGTTAAAATTTATCACCATAGTCACAAATTCTTTTCTTGTGATGAGAACTTTTAAGATCTACTCTCATGCCCTGCTGATATGTTCAATAGTTAGAGCATCAGCCTGAAGACCAAAGGGTTTCCAGTTGGATTCATGGTTAAAGGCAATGATTAAAGGCGCATACCTGGTTTGTGACTTACTCCCTGGTCTGGTTAGGGTGCGTGCAGGAGGCACTGATTCATTGATCAATATTTCTCTCTATCCCCTTCTCTTCCCTCCCTCCCTCCCTTCCATTCTCATTCTCATTCTCATTCTCATTCTCATTCTCATTCTCATTCTCATTCTCATTCTCATTCTCATTCTCATTCTCATTCTCATTCTCATTCTCATTCTTTCTCTTTCTCTTTCTCTTTCTCTTTCTCTTTCTCTTTCTCTCTCTCTCTCTCTCTCTCTCTCTCTCTCTCTATTTTATTGATTTTTTACAGAGAAGAAGAGAGAGGGATAGAGAGCTAGAAACATCAAGGAGAGAGAATCATTTATCAGCTGCCACTTGCACACCCCCTACAAAGGATGTGCCCACAACCAAGGTACATGCCCTTGACTGGAATCGGACCTGGGACCTTTCAGTCCACAGGCCAACGTCTATCCATTGAGCTAAACTGATTTCGGCTCTTCCATTCTCTCTTTAAAAAAAAAAAAAACATCAAAGGGAAAAATATCCTCAGGTGAGGATTAACAAAACAAAACAAAAAAAAACAAAAAAAAAAGCTGAAGCCGGTTTGGCTCAGTGGTAGAGCATCGGTCTGCGGACTGAAAGATCCCAGGTTCGATTCCGGTCAAGGGCATGTATGTTGGTTGCGGGCACATCCCCGGTAGGGGGTGTGCAAGAGGCAGCTGGTCGATGTTTATCTCTCATCGACATTTCTAGCTCTCTCTCTCTCTCCCTTTCTCTCTGTTAAAAATCAATAAAAAAATAAAATAAAATAAAAGAAAGAAAAAAGAAAAAAATCTACTCTATTCACAATTTTCAAATATAGAATACAGTAATTACTAAATATAGTCATCACACTGTATATTATACACCATGACTTATCTATGTTAGTTACAATGTGCACAATTGAATATTAACTGAAAGTCTTTACCTATTTATCACCTTCACCCACACATACCTACAGGAACCACCAATCTGTTATCTATAAGCTTGGAGGTTTGGGATTTTTTTTAAAGTTTCCACAAATAAGTGAAATCATATGATATTTTTCTTTAATTTTAGACAAAAAAAGAAGACTCTAAAATTAACATGGGTAGCAGTTTCTCTAGCAATTAATTTAAAAATTATAATTTGATTTATAGTAGTGATTCATCTTCTCTTTTAAAAAAATTACCGAGGGACTATAAAACATCTAGATATTGAGGGGAGGAGGAAACA